AGAAGTACTGTGTAAGGGATATGCATGCTGGGAAATAGAGGGACACACGTAGAGTACTCGGGGAAAAAAAGCAAATCGGAGACATTCCGTTGACTGCTGCGGAAAATTTGGGATTGACCGGGCACAAACGCTCGGAGGGATAACGGCCGAAGGACGAGGCTGGTGACTCAATGTCAGCCAAAGGATGGACACGCGCCTGAGAAGGCGGCCAGCACAGAGACGGGGCAATGGAGATTGCGACATCACGTGACACTGGGATAGGCAATGGCTGATGCATTTAATTTTGAATACCGCACAAGGTGCCAATGGTGTATAAATTGCTAAGCATCCTTGAGCATTCGATATAAATGGAAATCACAACGGGACAAAGGTCTCCCCTTTAGCTGAAAGCCAAGTTTCGCTATTAGCGTGCAACTGTTAAGGCCGGTAAGGCCCACGAAGGATGGTGGGCGGCTCACACTACACCTTTGTCTCCAGGGGGCTGATGTTCACACACAGCACCAGGTAATCGTTGATTGCTTCAACGTTCTACCAGAGGCCAATGACATGAATCAAATCTGGGTTTCTTGGATTGTAGTGCAGCATGTGAACGACACATTGCCGCTTCTTCCCACGAACACACACACGTCAACACACATGACCACGGGGTTGTGTGTACAACATGAGCGTCTAAGGCGTAATTGCAATTTGTGTCTCCTAATGTGACTGCAGATTATTGGCTTGACTGCTGGATGGTCCTTGCTATGGTTAGCATATTTATGGGAAATGCAGGAATGTGATTAGTACTGCAGTACTGCAGTACTAATCACATTCCTGCAGTACTGCAGTACTAATCACATTCCTGCATTTCCCATAAATATGCTAAATTCCTTTTGATATGCAAATCCCTTTGTCAATGCGCCCAGCTTATATATATGCTCCAAGCTCGTGTGCTGTTTCATTCAGACTCTGTCGCCTCGACGGACCTGGTTTTCACCTGAGGACGGCTGCTTGCGTTGTGGCCGAAACGTCGTGAGAATTGTTTTATTATGTTTTATTTTTATTATTTTATTACTTCCCTTCTACGTGACTTTACCGAAAGAACCAAGAAGATGATCGGAAGGATCGATTTGGGCCTTTCGCAGAGCAGCCCTTCGTGTCAGAGAAGAGCTCACGAAAGCGGATTTCACACAATTACTTCTGAGGTACACATAGTCAGGGGGCAGCACGTTCCCACTGGCCCTGTCACGGAGAGTAATGGCTTGGCACATTTCAGTCAACCCGTTATCGAATTTATATACTCAGCCCGATGATGCTGGTTGCAATTACCAGCGAAACGTCGTACTCAAATTGTAAATGTTGTGGCTTCAACACACCGGTGGGCTAAAGCAGTGAACTATTTGTCTTTGTCAACGTGACACTTTTTTTACTGATTGGCCGTGTCGGGTGGTGGAGGGTTACGACACATTTATAAATAAACGCGATCTAAACCCAAAAACGTTGATTATGAATAACATTGGTCGCGAAAGCCTGCTACGTGTTAATCAGCACTGGAATTCAGCAAAATTAAACGTGGAATAAAATGTCATGAATCCAGTTTCATCGCAGATGTTTGCCTGGGTTTGAACCCAGGTGTTCAGTAGTGCCAGCTCAGCTCTCTGAACTATGAGGCTGCTTGCGTTGTGGCCGAAACGTCGTGAGAATTTTTAATTATTATTTCCATTCTACGTGACTTTACTATGAGGCAACCTGTTATCTTTGCAAAGAGTAGATTCTTGAATTGAATTGCGACTGATTCGTGACCATTTGTTGAATTGCACGCAGCGTGAATCTTCACACACCTCCAACACTCTGTGTATTCGGCGGTGAGATTACATGTACAGACTTTTGTCCATCCACTGATGGACGAGGACACTCTCCATACAATGGAGGCCATCGGGCTTGATGTGCACACTTCACCACACTGGTTAGTGCAGATGGGTGAAGGCAGGGAGCCTAGTAGAATAGAACAATCGATTTTTTTTGCTACACTCATAGTGAGTGTACTCTAACTCGACGTTCATTTGTGTTCACGCCCGATTCATTCAACATTCCCTGTTCAAGTGTTGCACGTCAACTCACAGCGGTGTGCTCCCCACAAAACCCGCAGTGTCACGTGTCATTGTTGTGTTTCCATTGTAAATGATCTTCTTTTGTCAACACAAGTGAGTCTTGTTTACACGGCATTGTATTATCAAGGCAAATTGGGTAAAATCGTACGTTCAATGCCGTGCAACCATCGATTGGCTTGCTGAGATGCAAAGATACGCCCTCGCGTAACAAACGATTCACTTAGAGTAATTACCTACACGCAGGCGACAACCACACAAAGGCAGGAAGGGCAAACATAACCAAACCTACCCCTCATGCCCCTAAACAGGTAAGTTAGTCAATGAGCCCAGCGTCTTTAATTAACATACAACGAGCCTTTTGCCCGTCCAAGGACGGATGTATTGCAGTACATTTGAAACTTGCAAGCGAAAAGCAGACCGCCACATGATATTCATTGCATCCATTCGTGTGCAATTTGTAAGGGCGCGGTGACACAGACTTTTTTCATTTAAAGGTGATAATCCCTTGTTCATCATGACGTCCTTTTTACTTTGATGTCTCAACAGCGTTACGGAGATCACGTGATGACGTGAGGGTTCTGCCTTTGTAGTGAGGGTTGTGAGTTGACGCCGAGGAGGGGGGGGTGCCTCGACCCCCCCCACCATGTGGAGTGACGTCACCCCCTAATTGTTATGAATGGGGGGGGGGGGGTGTCCATTTGGAGGACGTCACCTGTTAATGGTTATTAATGAGGGGGCTGTTCGATGTGGAGTTACGTCACCTCCTCATAATTACTAATGAGGGGGGAGGGTGCTCCATGTGGAGTGACGTCACATGCTCATGATTATTAATGAGGGGGGGGGGTCCATGTGGAGGACGTAACCTGCTCATGAATATTAATGAGGCGGGCTGGTCGATGTGGAGTGACGTCACAAGCGTTAAGGACAGACATTCCTGAGTGATTATAGTAGGTATTCAATGCTAATTGGAAATATAAAGCTTCTAGATGCGACCGCGTTATCAAGACCCTTGTACAAGTTGGGGAAGCATGCACATCTTAGAGAGCTTACAGGGATAAAAAAACATGGGGTAGAATTCTACTGACCTGATGAGGAATTTAAATAGAATTGTAGTAGAGGTGTGAATGGAAATAATTCATAGACAGTTTAACTGGGAGTGGGTCTCAGCAGCGCAAAGTCTACGACGGACGAACAGAGATAATCTGGCAAGTCGCTCCGTTTTGCCACAGCCAGTTGCGTAGACCCAGTCATCAGACCGGACCGAGAGCCTTTCACGAACATGTCAATCGCTCCTGTGCAGGTAACAGTGGCTGGCCTTTTGGAACTCTTAAGTCCAGAGCACAGAGGTGGCGAACCGTTCCGTAGCTACCCCGTGACTTAATTTCTTACGGCTCACGGCCACACGATGGCCCCGACTTCAAAGTGGAGAAACAAAAAAAATGCCCCGCAAACGATATTTATATCCGTCACTGCAAGCATCTTAGTCGCACGAATCGAGTTCTAGAGGGGAATATTTTTGACCTGGCAACGCGGGGGTTTCTAATGTTAGCAACTCCTCTTTATACGTGGACTCCACTGACTCCACGTGTCAATAAAATACGTACTCTTTGATTATTTCGGTAATTTTTTTCCTCCTACGTCAGCAGTTCTGCTGTGTTTCACCTGATGACGGTTGCTTGTGTCGCGATCGAAACGTCGTGATCTGTAAATATTCTATTTACGTGTCTTTACCGAAAGAACCAAAGAGTATAGATTCCTGCAGTCACGAAAGCTTCAAATAAAGAAATTAAATACGCTTTAGTCCAGACAAATATATAGTTCAGCAGCATTTGTTTTTAGCAAACAAACTCAGGAACGATTTCAACATCCTGGCTCTCACCGGCAGTCAGGCTTTGGGCTGCCAAATGTTATTGACGAGGGCACTCCACCTAAACCATCGGGGACCTGTTTAACGAAAAGCAGCAATACAAAATGTACAAACTCGCGTGGCCTCGTTGTGTGGATCATTGCGTGCTCGTTAGTGGCCGGCACGAGGAATACGTTCCTCTACCCCAGGCAGAGAGGCTGGGCTTGGCAATGAGTCTGGCACGGCGCTCTTCATCGCAAGCACCCGCGGGACACTGGCGGCCACCCTCGTGGCCTCCAATGTGGTCCCTGACATGCGGCCGCCGAGAATACCCAACGCGTGACAACACCCCCACCCCGTCATCATCGTGCTGCTGTCAAGCCCCAGTGGTTTCTAATGTGTTGGCGGTCCTCACACCGATGTCTTATCGGCGAAAGTGCCCGTCCGCCCCCCCCCCTCCTCTGAAAATGAGTGAAGGACGCTGGGTCTGGCGTTAAGAGCGTATCCGGCATGCTCATCGCACGGCCACCACGCGCGCGACTGCGATGATGATGAAAGGCAATGAATGAGTGTAACGAAGGGGGGCACTGCCCCTTCCTCCTCCCCATAACACGGCAGCCTCGCAGCGTCCCGCGTCTCCGCCCATTTCCTGCGCGAGTCTAAGGAGGGACCACGACGACGACGACGAGGAGGAGGTGCCGGGGTGGGTGGGGGGGTGTGGAAGCTCATTCACTAACACTGGGCGGGACTCCGCGTGCGTTACCGAGAGGGCGTGCTGAGAACGAGCACACTGGCAGAGACGCGCACAGACACACACACACAGAGAGAGACGCGCACAGACACACACACACAGAGACACGCGCGCAGACATACATACACAGAGACACGCGCACAGACACATACACAGAGACACGCGCACAGACACATACACAGAGACACGCGCACAGACACATACACAGAGACACGCGCACAGACACACACACAGAGATCCACGCGCACAGACACACACACAGAGACACGCGCACAGACACACACACAGAGACACGCGCACAGACACACACACACAGACACGCGCACAGACACACACAGAGAGACACGCGCACAGACACACACACAGAAACGCGCGCACAGACACACACACAGAGACACGCGCACAGACACACACACACAGAGACGCGCGCACAGACACACACACACAGAGAGACACGCGCGCGTAAACGCACAGAGAGACACGCGCACAGACACACACACAGAGACACGCGCACAGACACACACACACAGAAACGCGCACGCGTAAACGCACAGGCAGGACAACACGCGAATGTGGCATCCTCCTCCACGCGTTTACCAACCTTCGAACCTGCTTCGCTGCACGCATGGAAATAGGCGTCAACTATTCGGCTTAAGGAGAACACGGCGGCTAAAATAAGCGGCGCAGTGTTTATTTGTGTGCGCGTGTATCTTTTAGCGCACGTGCGTGTGGTGCACGGCACGCGGACGTACTACATACTGGTGTATTAACACGAAATAGGAGTAATCATCAGCAGCGGTAACAGTAACAGCGTCGTCATCCGCAGCATCATCACCATCACCGGCAGCAGCAGCACGATGAGTGGAGAAGTGATGTGTAGCGGATGGCTGAGGAAGTCTCCCCCAGAGAAGAAACTGCGTCGATACGTGAGTCACGAATCCTACGTCTCAAACACCAAGACAACACGCGTTCTCTGCGTAGAGTTCTGTTACATACAACTGCACTTGCGTTACCCTCTGTGACTTCCTAGTGGCACTGCATTTGCTTTGCGCTGCTGTGCCGTGAACGCACACGCGCACGTGTTAAACTGACGCACGCGTGTGTTTGCTCCAGGATAGTTTCGACGGTAACTAATTAATGAATACGCGCGCCCGTGATTTGACTTAATGAGAGCGGCACGTGATTGTGACCATCGGTGAACGCGCGTGTGACACGGGCCAATTTAGTCACACGGGCCACCTCGGTAAGTGGCGTTTCAAAGCGAAGGAGGTCCCCCGTGCCGATCGCGAATTGCCGTTGTGCACGCGAAGCTCGCGGCTGCTTTGAATTAAAAAAAAGTTTTTTTTTTGAACCGCCGATTCGCTCGCAGTAAGCCCTGAGCCAATATTGGCACAACGCATTAAAATGACTCGCGTGCTTCGAGAGACGCGTGCCCCCTTGGGGTACAATGCAGGGGATTAAAATGAACAAAACAATTGAACCACTGGAACACCATTAAATACTGTATCCGCGATAGAGTGTAGTGTGTGCTTTGTATTGGTGTGTGGAAATATTACCTGCGCAACTACAGCTTAACACGTAGGCTTTCGTGACCAATATCATCCATAAGAGTTTTTTGGGGGGGTTAGATCGCGAAAATATAAATGTGTCGTTCAATCCGCCACGCAGCCAATGAGTAAGGTTTGTCACGTAAACAGAACATGCCAATTGATTACTAGTACAGCACACCGGTGCGTTGGAGAGCAAATCCACAACATTTACAGCTTGCAGGTGAGTCTGCTGCCTACACGAGCAACGCGCTGTGGGTGAAGGATAAGCACAGCAGCAACTACAGTGTGCTTCGGGTGGTGCATACACGTGTTTGTGTAGCTAAGGAATTATTCTTTGGTTTTTTCGGTAAAGTCACGTATAAAAATAAAATAATAAATTAAATAATAGCATACGACGTTTCGATTGCAACACAAGCAATCATCATCAGGTATAATGAAATAGCGACATAGAATATAACCAGAAAACTATAGACAGACATATAAGCAGAAAATTAAGATAGCTAAGGAATGTAGGTGTATTCTGGGTTTTTTTGCTGTAAGGCATTGGGCTTAGCTGCTATGTTCTACTGTGTTGTTGCATGTATGGACTCTCCATGCGAAACGAGCGGTGCCGCAGTGGTGAACGCATTGCACTATGAAACCGGTGTCCTGAGTTCCATCCCTGGCCACCGGCTAACATCTGTGTCGAGCGAGAATGACCTGAACCGGTGCTTGGCTTCTTCCCCCTTTCACCAACACGCGTGGTGAAGTATGGTCAAACGTCCTGGATGACCAACGCAATCTGGGACGCCCTTTTCATTCATCAGTCGATGTACCAAAGAGGTGTAGGAATGAACTCCCCCACCCCCCCCCCCCCCCCATTTAACCGTGATGTTGATTCCCTTGCCCCTGATCAAGACCAGGCGTAACGCCTTCATGTTTATCTCTACTTGTGACCGACTGCCTCTCCCTACGAAATAAAGACGCCCACCGTCTACGCAGCATGTTGACGTGCGCTTGCATCGAAACGCGTTGTGAGCTCACATTGTATTGCGACGTGCCGTGTGCGAGGCGCGTGCACAGCTGCTCTGCTCGTGTGCGCGCGGATCCTCCTCGAGTGCCAGGGTTAAAAGTGCGCGTGTCGCTGTGTATGCGCCGTGCCTGCCCCATTGATGAGTGACCGTGACGATGTAGCCGCGCGCCATTTACCTAATGCAATGCGGTGGTCATATGCAGTTCAATTAAATTGATTGTCCTCTGCAGTGCAGTTTATCAAAGCGAATTCGTGCATTGCGGTGGAACTCGGTGCAACGCATCGTTCATCACGGCTTGTTCCAGCTGAATTGCTATTTAGGGGTCGCGACCAGAGCAGAAAAAATTCTACTTCCTTCCCCTCCATGAGTTTCTTTTGAAAGGAAATCCGATTTTAGAATACCGGCATTAATGTTTATGAAGTCTATACTCGGCCATGCCTTTCAGAAAATATATATTATATTAAAAGCGGTAAAGGCACAGCCATGCAATGGCTTGCTCAGGCCACTGCTAGAGCAACGGCTTTCACCGTAGGGAGCTCCAGAGAGCCTCTCTGAGACCGTATTTGGCCTACTCCTCCACGCTGGCAAGACGTCTTGGGAGTGGTGGGAGTAGCCACACTTTACCGCACGACACGCGATTTGCCGATCGACTAACTGTGGCACCCATTTGTACTGCTGGGTGGACAGATGCGTTTTGTGGGGGGAGGGGTAGGGTAGGATTTTTAAAAATTTGCATCAAAACGTCTCCAAAGATTGCCAACAAAACATTTCCGCACCGAGAGATGGATCTCTGGATTGCAAGTCCATTGCGCGAACCATTACACCGTGGCAGCATGCAACCGTGCAGTAAATAATGGGATACGTTAAGCAAAAGAGATAGAGAGGGTTTTCTCCTGGGTAAAATTATTCACGATTGTACAAATCAATGCGCATGCATCTCGTCAAATGTAGAGTAATACACTTTGCCGTGACTCAAGAGTCCATAACGATGATAATTTAAAGTAAATGCAGTGGCCGTTTCCCGTCATAAGAATGTTTGGAGCATGTCCCCAGTCAGAATTGTCTAACGGAGTGAATTGTATGAAAATTATTTACAGTGCGGTGACTTTTTTGTCAATAACAACAAATTACTTTCTGCTCCATTTGATTGCATTTTTTATAATTTCCAAACTGTGTCCGGTGGTGGGGTTTTGGTTGTCATCGGAACACAAGTGCAGTAAACCTATCTCTGTAGTCTTCCATTATTATTGTAATTATATTTATTCATTTCCCAGTGAGCTGTTAAAATTATTTCTCTCTGGCGAGGGTTGCCAGATGAAGGCATATTTGTTTTTTCCGTTCCTCGCTGTGCAGCGGAAACAGTTTTGTAAGGATGTAGATGCATTTGACATAACTGAGTGTCGTGAGAATTCGTATGCATTACGAATACGGTTGAAGCTGGAAATATACACACCACTTTGGCGCAAGGCCAGCTGTGATTATATGCAAAGTAGAGTGCTTTTGTGAGACGTTGTCCATTGCCTCTGCCCCTACTAGTGTAATGTAAGATGTGTTAATTATATCAGAACTGTGATTATATACGCTATGCTTATATCCAGTTTCTACTCTGGCACTATAATAAATAAAAAACCAAGCTCGTGCAACATGATCTCTATGGCCTTGGATGTCTTGTTGAGGTGTGAGTGACCTGCTGAGCATCATAGCAAAAACATTGACTCTGCTAAATTAGGTGTTTGATAAGGATTTTAAGAAGAATGTTCCCAAAATATTCACTTATCCCTCAACATTTTACACCTTTCCCAGCCCACAGTCACTTTTAGCAGAACTGTTTACTTGACATCCGTACGTAGTTTGAGTTCTGGCGTCGCTGGGATTTGTTGACATGACTTGGGTGAAAATTGTCATCTGTAGCGGTGCTTGTGAAACTGTCACTGCAACGACTGTCGGGCTGAAATGAATCTAAATGTAATCCTTCTATGGCGTTCAACGAAAGTCAAATGTCATACCGTTGCTTGAAAGCCACACTAATAAAGTGTGTTCGTGTTATTTATTCATTAACCTTGGCTTGGTGGCACATGCCTGTAATACACGGTTCGTGGAGGCAAGCGTTGGTAGGATCGCGTACGTTTGTGAAACTTTAAAGTCTGCCAGGGGCTCTAAGGTGGCACGAGTGGGGATTGTGAATCCATCCGTTGGGACGTGCGAGTGCGATCGCAGTGTGTTTTCTGAGTGCACTACTTTGGTGATCTCCCATATGCTAAACACTCTGAAAAAAAAGTAATTTGTCGATCATCACAATGCAGGAGCCTCCTTAAAAAGAGTCTTGAGATTGATAATTGTTTTTTTACCCTTTTTATCTGGCAACAAAACTGACACCTTTTTTACATGCTAACATGACTCCTTGTAAAAAAAAGGTGTCAGTTTTTTTGCCAGATAAAAGGGTAAAAAAAACAATTATAATATTTTTTCTTCTGCCAAATGAGGTTCCAAAGTCTTGAGATTCTTTGAGATTTTTCGAATATAAATAGGACATGAAAACATTGGTATGCGTGGAAAACATATTTTTTGGCATTCATTGCTAAACGATGCCAATTATTTGGGTTGGCTTCATTTGAGAAATATTTAAATTTGGATGTCATTGTTGGACGCAGAAAAGATGATCTGTCTGTCTAGGATTCTCTTTGTTGGAGTTGAGTTGCTTTTAGCCACGAAGGCTCCTTCTTAAGTGCTATGAGAGCAGTGGTAGATATTACTAATATATTGCTTATGCTATTTCCAGTCTTAGATTCGTTAGCTTTATACCTAGTCATTTCTTTCCTGTATTGACTGTCTTTTCATATTATTTTGCTCGGCATTCGAGAACTCAGCATGTTCGAATATCCGTTTACACGTACGATTCCTGTGTGGCCTTATGTTTCCTCATTAGCTGTTGATGTGGCATCGTAAAATACATTGCGACTTCTGGTTGTTTTATTAATTAACAACAAATGTCAAACCGAGTTGGAAATGTGCGGGTTTGAATGTCGCGGTGGCGAGATGTTAACTACATTGCCTGGTATACAGGAGATCGTGGGTTCGATCCTGACCCATGTTCTCCCTGTGGTCGCGTGGATTTTTCTCCGGGTCCTCCGTTTTCTCCCTCCACATTTAGAAACACGCGTTTAGAGTATTTTGCTGATATACATTTCCACGCGATTAGCCACTTAGTTGAGCTATCGTTTATGGCTCGGTCGCATCTGTGCTGTACTAGTAACGAATTGGCACGTTCTGTTTACGTGACAAACCTTACTAATTGGCTGTGTCGGGTGGTGGCGGGTTTTAACGACACATTAATATATTTACGTGATCTTTCCGAAAAAGCAA